AAATTTGGTTAAAAACCCATAATATAAAAAAATACCAAAAATTAAAAAAAAATGATAAATTTGAAGACAATTTTGCATATTGTGGCAATTCATGACATCTAGCAGTTTTTTCAATATTTTATTTGTTTTCAGCACACCAAAATACATGGAAATTAGATGAAAATAATCAAACAGCTTTTTAGTCGCAGACCTGTGTTATCTATGTGAAGGTTTGCTGGACAAACAAAGAAAAGAGAATTGAACTGAGATTTCCAGTCCTGATGATTGTGGAGCCATAGTTGGTTTCAGTGAATAAATTTCAGGAAGGATGTTATAAACAACCAGTGGGGGCAGAATAACTGAACCATTTATCAGTTCTCATTAAAATTAACGATACTTGATTCAAATTTTTTGGCGTGATTCCTTGGGTACTAGTGCTGGAAATTTTACCTTCCAGCACACCAACTTTAATATTCCTACTTTCTATGATCCAGTTACATATTACAGTAGACACATCAGCATTGTGATTGTCAAACTCGGCAAATGAGAAGTTTAAATGTCTAAAGTGCTTAATGGAAGTCAATTGAGAAATAAGCATCCTAACTTGCTTCCCTCTAAATAGGGATCAAAATTGGGAGATATCCTACCTAACATAGTCATTGTCCCATTACCTCTTGGAAATTCTGTTATACACACCTAGAAGGTCCCAAAATGTTATGCCGATCTCAGTAAATTACCATTAAAACATTAATCTTACTCACAGGATGGGTCATTTTTTTCCAACTCACATTGAGACAGTGGTCATCTAAACATCTAGAACAGGGGAGGAAGTTTTATAAATGTTTGAACTTGTGATAGGCTTTATTGCTGGGGACAAGCAAAGATCACTATTAAATAGCAGAAATACTTTGCTATTTTAGTTTAAGTAGCTGTTATTGGATCAACATTTCTGAAAAATCTAAATTGTCTTATTTTTTTTATTTTGGCAAATGGTCTGTAGATCACATAGCTACAGAGAAGAGAAGGGAGGGAAGGAGGAAGGAAGGAAGGAAGGAAGGAAGGAAGGAAGGAAGGAAGGAAGGAAGGAATAGACTCTCCTTAGTGG